AGCAGCAGCAGCAGCATCACCCCGTGCTGCCCCATCAGCATTCAGTATGGCGAACCAATCACTCTCCTTTCGCGCTCTCCCCCCACCCCCTCCCGCTCCTCTCACTCTCCCCGAAACATTCGTTATCGCCCGATACCATATACCCGTAGCGTATAGCAGAGCGTCGTCGTTTTGCGCAGGGATCTCTCGCCAGTTTATCGGAGAGCTCGGCAGGCGCGCGCGCGCCCACACACACACACCTGCGCACGTCCGCCCGGTTCATTCATTTATTCATTCATTCACTCGTTCGTTCGTTCCGTGCATTCATCACGGCCAGCGTAGCAGGCTCTTTTGCTCGCCTTCATTACATACCGCCGAGGTGCCCCGCCGCTGCTGCCGTCGCTGCTCGTGCCCTCGACCACGGCGCGCAGCACGGCGCAGCACGGCGCAGCACGGCGCAGCACGGCGCAGCACGGCGCAGCACGGCGCAGCACGGAGCAGCACGGCGCAGCAGTGGAGTGGCGGCCGAGCCGCCGTGCCGAGCTATGCGGCGGTGGTGTAGGTTGGCGGATTGGATTCCCCTTTCTTTTTCCGCCCTTTCCTTTCCCCGCCCCGACCCGCCTCGCCCACCCGGCCCGCTCGTATGAATGCATGAAGTCCGCGCGCCCTGCCTGCACCCTCTTTTCCATCGGCCGGGATGAGCTCGGTGTGCGAGTCTCTCTCTCTCTCTTGCTCGCTCTCTCGCTCGCTCCTTGCTCGCTCCCTCGGCCTCCCTCCCCCGTTTCGCTCCATCGACCCTGAGCCGCCCCTGGCCGACGGTCCCTGGGCCGAGCCTCGCTGCCCCGTCGGGCCGGCACATGTCGGACTCGTACAGGAGGGCTCGCCAGGCACCCCGCCCCGCCCGGCCTCGCCCTGCTCCAGGCTTACGTGGCCACAATCGCCTTAGGCTCCGTGGGTGGGGAGGCAGGAAGGGGGGGGGGGATGGCTTTTCTAAAGGATCAAAAACGTGACTCGCTCCATAAATAAAGGGATAGGATGGGGCTCGCCGGCGCAGGGATCGAACAAGGTCACTTGGAAAACACGCATGCATGGAGGGAAATGGAAAATATATTAAGTCGGCGCCAGAAACTGCGTTTTGCGCTAAAGGCTTTCTTCACTTTCGATTTATGAATCTCGTAGCAGTGGAGGAGAGAAAGGCAAATCAATGAAAGAAATAATGATTAGCTTACATTTTTGATGCTTTTGGGAGGTGTATGTATTTCGAAAAATAGAATGCAAAACTAACATCCCTCCGCGTCGTCGGCCGAAGGCTAGTGCGGCGTCGCCGAGTGACGGCGGGAAGGGTTGGCCGAGCGCGGCGCGGGGCGCGGGGGGAGGAGAGGGAGCGGGGTCACCCTCCCCGCGTACGGCGTCGGGAGAAACAGCGCAGCGGCGCCCTCCTGTGTGTGTATATGTGTTTGTCTCGAAGGAGGATGGACGAGACGTCTTCGTGACAGCTCCGCGTGTTGGAGTGTGAGTGTATGTGTGAGAGAGCGGCCGAGAGTAAATGTGTTGTGTAGACGTGTGTGTGTGAGTGCGCCGGAGTGAAAAGTAATTGGAGTGAGAAGCAGGAAATGAGACACGGAGCTGTCTGCTCCGTTTGACCTGCCTGTGCAGCCCTCTCTGCCCCTTTGATATGCATGCGCGTCCGCTTCGGCTTC